AGGAGTATATCCTTACTATTAGTCAAGTATAGAACAACGCCATATACCGACTTGATAGTAGCATTTAATCTTTTAACTCCTTGATGAAATCAATTGAGATTGATAACCTCAACACAACGGTTTCGGTTTAACCAACAAAATTAATCCCTCTTAAGTTTATTAACCACGACCGTGCATTAATAAACCGAAGTTACTTACTTGTGAAACTATCAACGATTAACCATCGGTTCGTTGATCGTTTCTAGTAATAATTAATATATGAAACAAAACTAGTTGATCCTTTAAGTAATGTTCAAAATATTAATATGAAATATGAATAGGAATTAACTAATACTCAAGGAAGAATATTAAAGAAAATGAATCCTACTATAGTTAATATCAAGATGTTAACTAATTGTCATCTTAGTAACACTCCCCAATATTAACATAGAGGAAGGAATAGCTATTACTAAGACCAATGTCAAGATGATAACTAATTGTCATCTTAGTAACACTCCCCAACATTGATATAGAAATAGTATTTAAAAGAAGAATTAATATTCAAGGAAATAAGTTAAGAAAATAACTCACAACTTTAATAATCAACAAGCTTCAAGAGCAATACCAAGAAATGAGAGTTTAGCTCCTCATTTGGAGACTAAACATGCTAAAAGAAATATAAAGAAATGTTATTCTAAACTGAGCTTAAGAGTGTAAAGGAATTGGTATCTAAAAGTGAAGGAAAGGAGGTGTATTTATAGGCTTTTTTGAGGTGCAGGTCGGGTACTCGATCGAGTATATACATATACTCGATCGAGTATGTGTAGAAACTCGAATTCGATCCATACTCGATCGATATTCGAGCAGAATTCATAGCTATACCCGATCGAGTATGTCGGTGTACCCGATCGGGTATAGACACTCGATCGTGGTAAAATCTTCCCTACATGTTCCTTTGTTTTCGGATCCGATCCGATTTGAAATTTCAACAAGATACCCAATCAAGTATAGGTAATACTCGACCGAGTATAGACCAAAATCAGGATCTTCCCTTTTTGTCTTGTGATTTTGCACCTTCCTTCCACTTTTGGGGTTCACCAACTGTCCTTTGAGTGATGGTAGACCTGTTTGAGCTCAGAATAAACCTAATCTAAACAATTTACAAGAATTTAACAAACTAAACTATTACACCGAAAGTGTGTAATTTCCGAAATACTAAACAACCAAAACTAAGTAAAAACGTAAATAAACACACGGAAATTACAAACGTATCAATGATGATGATGATGATGATGATGATGATGATGATGATGATGATGATGATGATGATGATGATGATGATGATGATGATGATGATGATGATGATGATGATGATGATGATGATGATGATGATGATGATGATGATGATGATGATGATGATGATGATGATGATGATGATGATGATGATGATGATGATAATGATAATAATAATTATTATTATTATTATTATTATTATTATTATAATAATAATAATAATAATAATAATAATAATAATAATAATAATAATAATAATAATAATAATAATAATAATAATAATAATAATAATAATAATAATAATAATAATAATAATAATAATAATAATAATAATAATAATAATAATAATAATAATAATAATAATAATAATAATAATAATAATAATAATAATAATAATAATAATAATAATAATAATAATAATAATAATAATAATAATAATAATAATAATAATAATAATAATAATAATAATAATAATAATAATAATAATAATAATAATAATAATAATAATAATAATAATAATAATAATAATAATAATAATAATAATAATAATAATAATAATAATAATAATAATAATAATAATAATAATAATAATAATAATAATAATAATAATAATAATAATAATAATAATAATAATAATAATAATAATAATAATAATAATAATAATAATAATAATAATAATAATAATAATAATAATAATAATAATAATAATAATAATAATAATAATAATAATAATAATAATAATAATAATAATAATAATAATAATAATAATAATAATAATAATAATAATAATAATAATAATAATAATAATAATAATAATAATAATAATAATAATAATAATAATAATAATAATAATAATAATAATAATAATAATAATAATAATAATAATAATAATAATAATAATAATAATAATAATAATAATAATAATAATAATAATAATAATAATAATAATAATAATAATAATAATAATAATAATAATAATAATAATAATAATAATAATAATAATAATAATAATAATAATAATAATAATAATAATAATAATAATAATAATAATAATAATAATAATAATAATAATAATAATAATAATAATAATAATAATAATAATAATAATAATAATAATAATAATAATAATAATAATAATAATAATAATAATAATAATAATAATAATAATAATAATAATAATAATAATAATAATAATAATAATAATAATAATAATAATAATAATAATAATAATAATAATAATAATAATAATAATAATAATAATAATAATAATAATAATAATAATAATAATAATAATAATAATAATAATAATAATAATAATAATAATAATAATAATAATAATAATAATAATAATAATAATAATAATAATAATAATAATAATAATAATAATAATAATAATAATAATAATAATAATAATAATAATAATAATAATAATAATAATAATAATAATAATAATAATAATAATAATAATAATAATAATAATAATAATAATAATAATAATAATAATAATAATAATAATAATAATAATAATATAAATAGTAATAATAGAAATAGTAGTAATAATAATAATTAAAAGAAATGTAGCAACTTACATCATTCTTCCTACCACATGTTGGAGTGAAGTGGCGTGGGGGATCGCAACCTCTGCTTTCACTCTGACCATCATCCTGAGAATATCCTTGTATGAAAAAAGCTAAACAATATAAATATTATAAATTTAGTTAAATGAACCATAAACCAATAAAAGTAAGATAGTGTCCTTATTAAACAGTATATTAAAAAACGAATACAACAGTTTATGTTAAGTCCACTTCCAAATTAATAATAATACAAATTTGCGTTCCATTTCCAATTTCATTTGCATAATCCATAATAATATCACTTTCGTTCCAAATTGTTTTGTTAAGTCAACATTTTTTTCGTCAATCGATATTAAAGTTAAATCATCTTTATTACAAATTAATTCGGCTTTAATAATTATAATTTACATATTTATTAATATTTGCTACCATAATGTATGTGGATAGATGTACATTTCATTTAGAGTTTCATTCCATGCATCACCATTAATGTATTTTTTCACATCATTCACACAACATATACACATTTACACATCAACTAGTTCGTGACGTACTGCCGGAAATGCCAATAGCGGGCTGTAGTGAGCGGCGTAGCGGATTTTTCCCGTGAAATGGAAATCACACACCAAAAGCCGACCGTAGCGGTAGCGGCCCCTACCGCGACCGCTATATAGCGGCTGCTATAGAGGTAGCGGGCCGCTATTTCAAACCCTGGACTACCTCCAATTCTCACACACTCATCATTTAAGAAATCCTAGAGTGAAACCATGAAGCAAAAGATTGCATCCTATGCACTTGTGTTCTTCTGTACGTATACTACAAAAAAACTGGTCAAAGTTTCTTTCTTTAGCCCGTTATATTGTCGCCGCTGACAACTGCATCGACGCCACATCATACACAGTCATAGCCATGTTATCTCCCACACTATCCGAATCCAACCGGCGTGCTGCTGTTTCAAGGCCACGACAGAAGTGTCAATGTGGCGCCACATCAGGTGTGCCTGTGATCCATGCACATGGGCGCCACATCATCTGCTTCTGGGTTAGCTTACTTGTTTGTATATTGAACCGGTCTGAACCGATACATGGTTGTGCAGCTCGGTTGACCCTATTCTATACGGTGCTTGAGGAAACCAGATCGATCCCCACTATTTTTGTCCATTCCGGATTCAACAGTGTGATCCGTTTGGCCACTCGGCTTCAAACGTAAGGTCGCTCACTTCCACTTTTTTTTAATAAAAAGAGATTTTGTTGGATAAAATACAGATTATTATGAGAGAAAGAAGGAAAAACAGGAAATTAAAAATAAAAATAAAAATCTACCCCCACAGATTTTTTTGACTTCGATCTTGTCCTCATGTTGTGACATCGTTTATTCTTCTAAGATTTTCGATAGATTTTGAGTTACGTATTCAGATTTTCCATTGGCATGCAAATTTCCAGAGTGATGAACTGAGATTTATGGAAAATCTCTCTGTTCAAATTGGATTCCCAAATGTCATCCTATATAGAAACCTCATATGGAGGATTTGCTAAACTGGACGGATTTAACTGATCCTCATGATATTGATGGTGTCAAACAAGACAAATAGACGGATGAAGAATGGACTAAATGAATTAAAATACAGTTTCGCAAATTAGACGGAGGATGGATCATAGTGTGCGTATTCCATCATGTTGCTCAAGAACAGAGTGCCTACAATTTCTAGGAGAAGCTTACTAGCATGTACCAAGCAAAAAACATCTCGAAATAAGACCCTACTCATGAGACGATTCGTAAACCACACGTTACAAAGCAAAAAAAAAAAAATTGTTTATCACATAGAAATGAATGAGTACATAAAATACTGCTTAAATTAAACCTTGCATACAGTAATTTTAAGTGCAAACCCAACAGCAAGGCGGGTTCAAACTCATAATGTAAATGAGTACATGTAACTATATTTAACACCAAATTTTTGGCTAACTAACCTTAGTTATAATTTGATTCTTTAAATTAATGTAAGCAGGAATTGACCGAAGTAGAGACATGTCTAAATGTTGATGAAGAATGCATGAAGAGAAGGGAAACTGCAGAAGCTCATCTGGACTACTCAGCACAAATGAACTTCATGAACTTCATGGATTATGCTTATCAAAGCTCGAAAGATATATTTTGTATATTTTTTATAGCTAGTAAGTTGACGGCAATATTGAAACTGCCAAGTCAAGTCTACAGGACAAGCATTTAATGAAATTGTCTTCTACACTTCAACGGAAAGACCAATTTCAGTATAAAAGATACACTTAGAAGAACTGGATGACTATGACTTTAAAAAACAGTGTGCAAATTCTTGAGAGCAAACTCTACAATTTCTACACAAGAATTCAAACCAAGAGCCTGGAAGATATTTTTCAAATCCTTCATCCAACTCTTATAAGTTCGTCTTTGTTCTTCAACATCTCTGAAATCTACATCTACACATCCTGTGCGGAGCACGTTGGAGAAAAACCTTCGAACACTTTCAAAGTATTTTTCTTGCAAAAGAAGGGCGCCAAAGTTACCAAAGTGAAGTGGGTATATACTTCAACCAAGCTCGGTGAAAAAGCCAGTTATCAGGAAGCAAGGAAGTGCATCTGGGTGACAAGGATACTCCAAAACTCCCAGAAAGAAGACTTCCAAATTCTGTATTTTTGTACTGTAAAATCGAATCGCGTATTTCTGTACTGGAGTTTCAAAACTCCCGTATTTTTGTCATTTCCTCACAGGAAAGACCTAATACGCCGCATGGAGGAAGTATATGAACATGAGATGATGAAGTGTGTTAAGCAATTTATTTCATGGTATCACGTTCCAGACAATAGAGCTCGTGTGCACTTGGTCCTTAGTCGTCCAAATCCATAGAAATATTTCATCTAGACATCTAGTGAGGGCCCTGAGCAATAGGTTTCAGTGCAATTGTCTCATCCTCTATCCTCTGCATCGATTCTAGTTGCAATCACGCCGCTCATGTTGAGCTCAGACTTGAAGACAAGTGACGAAGAAAATGATTTCGATCGAAATAGGAATTTGGAAAGGGACAGACAAACGAAATGGGAAATGAGAAAAGAAAATGATGCAGAGTGCATATGGAGAATTGAAGAGAGAGGAGGAAAGAGCAGATGGTGAGATGGAGAATTTGAGGGTTTGGGGAGGCGTATTTTTGGGGTATTTAAAGAATGTGTTAGATTCTCCCTTCGCGTCAATTAGATTCTCAGTTTGATTTTTACAAAATTTATAATAAATTTATAAAATTTTTTTTGAGAAATAATAAATTTATAATTGAATAATATATAATTGCAATGGAGCATATGAAATTAATTTGTGTGATAAATTATATAAATTATGAATATTTAATGCTCAAAGTTTATAAAATTTGATTCGAAAATCATTTTGAGAATTTAAATGTGAGAGGGGTGGTATATAGTTATATGAAACCTTGGTTTGAATATGCTGTTGAACTGGAGCCTCTTGTTTCTTCCATTTTTATGTGGTTTGAGGGCATCAACCACGAAAGGACATTCTTCTCCAGTAAAATGAAGAAGATAATATACCTTTGATCACATAAATTCTTGACTTCTTTCACCACTTCATGTATTCAAGACCAGCAGCATGCATCACTCGCAACTAATCTCCTATGCAATATGCAGAGCGAAGAACATTGACTCTCACTGGAATGCAGGAAAACTTGATTGATTGAATGAAATAATGAATATGTTGTTTTCATGTTCATAAATAGAATATTGTGATTATATGTGTATAACCATAACTTTATCATAAACATGGGGATATAAAAAAGATATACAAGAGCTATTGGTATCTTGAAGCAATGGTCCATACTTACATTAAAGGCATTCAACAAGTGGTCCATATATACATTTTTTCAACTTTCTGAGCATAATTATATCTGCATGTATGGGGTCCAATAAAATAAATGACACGAAGAAAAATGTATATTGTGCATTATTTATCGAACATACTCTAGTAAACATTTGCCAAATACATACTCGGTCATTTAACAAATCTTACAATGAAACCATAAAGCAAAATATTGCTTCCTTAATCCTTATGTACCTCATTGCTTCCTCTCAAATTGTGTGGCAAAATATAGGTAATTTGTGGGGGGGACATAGTAATTCAATTAATTAGCAGTGGTAATAGTTAAGATTTCATTCTATGCTTGAATGCTTGATGTTCTCAGGCCATTATATCTGGACTAATCAATTAGTGTTAGATTAGGCAGAAATGGGAATACTCCAAATAAATTAGCAAAACACAATGGGTACAAAGTACAACTGGCAAAATAGTAACCCGAATAAGTGAATAACAGAATCAATCATCAACAATAAGTAGATAAAACAGAGGCATCATTGCGGATAAACTTCACAAACTTTTCTTCTAACTCCATAAGGTACAGTATAAAGTATTGATACATCATATCATCAACGAATAGAAAACAAAAGCATTCAAAAGCTAGAATGACAAGAAAGCCAGCTTGATTACAAGTTTGCACCTCCTGCCATCATCCTTATTTCCCCTCCCCCACTTGACAAGCTTAAAACACTAAAAAGAACAATCAATTCATATCAGTGTCACAAAACTAGAACCCTATATAATATAATCATCCAAATTTCCACTACCAATTCTTGCCAAGTATAAAACTCATAAGAAGCGCAAAGTAATCTTTCCCTTGATATTCTGCCTCGCGACTATGCCGTGCTTTTTGTATCTATCTGAATCAAATGGTTGGATGAAATTGTACTGCAAATAGTTACATTTTCGTGTAGGACGCGTTCGAAGAATGTGTTTGTAAGTAGCACTTTAGGACGGAACTATGGTGCCAATGTAGCCAAATCCAGCAATAGTAAAGGTGATGACTTGGAGGAATAGGTATATGAAGTATTGGTTCTTTCCATACATGAAATCATAGCACCCACAGATGAAAAGGAAAACCGCAAATCCCAACTCATGTGGCAGAATCCTAAACCATTACCAATTATTGATTAGTACGTCAAAGGAGTAGGAATTCAAAAGCATGAACACATAAAGAAGCAGAATCTCATCCTCACCTATCTCCAAGCAGAGATTTCGTCTTCTTGATTGTTGCAGATTTGGCGTTTGGTTTGTTCTTGAGAGTGTCTCCCAGTTTTTCAGTGACTACCCACTCATTAGCCCTCTTTGCTTCAAGCAGCCCAATGAATGTAGCTTTGGTTCGGTGGAACGCCATCACATTCTCAAATAGAATCCAGTAAAACAGCAAATGGATCGACCTGCAAAGAGATTTATATTCAATCCTAACACAACCATGGACATAAAAACTATTTATTTGGAGTAATTCAAAACTCTGTGTATCTTTCTATTTGGACTTTATAAAATGACTAAACACCATAATTGGAAATTTTCTAATATCTTAACCCATCATGCATACCTCGGGGTGCCAACGGAGTTGAGAGTTGTGATGATACAAGGAATGTAAATGGCAGCCCACTTTGGTATTTCAACTTCGGGTACAAGAATGGTCAATGGAAGAACAACGCAGAAGAAGAAAAATGTGACCATGTGAGCTATGATTTTCCGAACGAAGAAGAAGCTGTAGATCACGTAGAATTTCTTCCACACATTCACTCTCTGCAAACACAAAACATTACATTCAGACCATCAACCATGTCTAGGACTAAAATAGTTTGACTTATTTAACCACCACAATACATATTAAAATATGTAGGCGGCAAGAGTCAACCAACCTTGTTCCTAACGATTTCCATGACCATTTTCCTGAACAAGTTTGCAGGTCCACAAGACCAGCGATGCTGCTGGAAGCGGAAAGCCTTGAAAGTACTAGGAAGTTCACTTTTAACCTATGATGAATCAAAAAGGGATATGAAGGTTTAGTTCAAATAATGCAATGAATTAGTCATTCAATAAATGATGCAAAGGACATTGTGGGAACGAAATAATACATGGAGGTCTCCCAAATAGAGGAACTTCCAGCCTTTAAGGCTTGCTCTTACAGCCAAGTCCATATCCTCTACAGTGGTCCTATCTTTCCAACCGCCTGCCTCATTTATGGCTGCGATCCTCCATATACCACCAGTCCCTGAAAAATTGGTCCCACAAGGTAAGGTGCGTGTTCATCCACAGAGTTTTGTGTAAAGTTGCTCTTTTGGAATCAAGCATAGTTTTAATAAGCTATTGAACTTTAAAAGCTTATAAGATATGAATTCTAATTAATATAAAATAAAACTTTATGCTCCATATTTAAATGTAAAAGAACTGTGAAAAAATTTATACGAACATATTGTTTTCAACAGCTTACCTAATGTTTTCCCCTGAGGCCTTGACTACACTACAACACTAGGTAGGAATGACCCAAAACTCTAATTTTATTCTTATGTAAGGAACTTGGATGTAGATAAATTTATGCGCAAAAGCACTAGCAGTATACCATTATGAACTTTTAGGTACGTACCATTGAAGCCAAAGAAAGCATGAGTAGATGATCCAACTTCTTGCTCCACAGTAAAATGGTAATCCAGTGACATCTCTTGCATTCTTGTCAATAAACACTCATTGGCATTCACTGAAAAGTTATAGGAAATAAAAACGATTGAATTAACATGGTTTAGTAACTAAAAGTACTGAACATGATTTGAAAAGGAAAGAATGACTAAAACATACGTAGTAATTTCCATTTCATTGGACAAACATATGATTGCTTTTAAATTTTCTAAGCAATTAAAACAAGCAGAACTAAATTAGCTTAAACCCTAACATTCTTCGCACCCCACCTCAACTGTCACTGACTCACTGTACACCCCAGCCGCTACCTATGGTAACAACCTCATTTACTAGACCAGATTTAAACAGATCAAATCAAAGGCGGATCTAGCATTAGCATTCAGGTGGGGCCAAAGTTTAATAAAATACATATATTGTAAAAAGGAGTCAAAATGTAGTAAAAGACATTTTGACTTCATGTATATTTAATAAAACTTATTTTCAAGTATAAATTGATATTTGTTGCAACATAAATGTCAAAGACATAAATAAATATTACGGAGTACAAGAATAAGAATTTTGTCAAAGTGAAATAAAAAACGCCTCAAATTTACACCTTTTTTTTAGAAATCTTAATAGACTGATATGGTAAAATTAGAAGTAAACGTAAAAATTAGAATTATATAAAGGCATAAAAACGTAAACCTAAAAGCTGAAAAAGTGAAAGTATAGAAAACAAAGTATTAAAGGCAATAAAGCCATTATAACCCTCCAAAATTTAATTATTTAATTTTTTGGGCTTAAGAGACTAGAATTCCAAAATTCTAGACAAAAAATAAACTTGTTGTTCGCAAGATTTGAACCCACGTCTACAGGCAGAGGGAAGTTCGCAGGTCTGAACCATCTCGGCTACACGGCTTCATTGTTTTTAATTGATTCTCGTTGTTATTATCCCTATCCCACAACAATATATATATATAATAATATATATATATATATATATATCCTAGTAAATTTTTTATTTTTGAGGTTGGGCCTAGGCCCTCACTGGTACTAAGGTAGATCCGCCCATGGATCAAATCAGACCAAACTAAGAATGTTTTAATTGGATTGGTTTACTAAGAATGTTTTAATTGGATTGGTTTCAATCTCAAATCATATCAAATCAAACTAGACCAGATTTAAACAGATCTAATCAAACCAAACTAGAACAAAATGAAACATGACGAGCATACTTTGGCGGTTGTATAACATAGAACAGAACAGACATCTACCAGGATTAAACGGACCCGATCACATCAAAAAAATTCAGTAGATCCGCCCATGGATCAAATCAGACCAAACTAAGAATGTTTTAATTTGATTGGTTTACTAAGAATGTTTTAATTGGATTGGTTTCAATCTCAAATCATATCAAATCAAACTAGACCAGATTTAAACAGATCTAATCAAACCAAACTAGAACAAAATGAAACATGACGAGCATACTTTGACGGTTGTATAACATAGAACAGAACAGACATCTACCAGGATTAAACGGACCCGATCACATCAAAAAAATTCAGTCCAATTAAAAATATCCTGATATTACATACTTAATCTTTTTTCAAAAAAGTCTTAAAAATATGCATTT